GGGCGCGCGTCGGAGACACGCGAATCGCGCCGCCCGCGCGGAGCGTGAAAGCGCCCCGGGTGAGGGCGCTGCGCTGGCGAAAGAAGCGGACCGCGCGCCGTGGAGCCGTTTCCTGCGCAGCGCGGCGGCGGTGGCGCTAGAGGGCGCGCACGCCGGCTGTGACGAAATGGCGCGTGCTTCTTTTTTTTTTCCTTTTTCGTCGCTCACTGCTTGACAAACGACTATTGTTACACAGCGTTAAGAAAGTGAGGGTTCGTATTTCCATATTACATTACGATTTTATGATTTTTTTCTCATGAGTTTGAACGATGGAATTCTTCAGAAGTACATACTATATGTTGCTCTTGATTTACTGATGAAAAAAATAACATTCATAATTCAGTACTTCTTATTTGATAAAGTTTTTCTTGGAACGTAATGGATCAACGAATAATGCAATCCATTTTTTGGCGCGATTGGTGAGCATAATTACGACTTGAAGGTAGAAACTTTTTTCGAAATTATAATAAGGTAGAATTAGATATCACAGTTGTATACTGCTAAAGAAGACTTTAATTTGTCAATGTGTTATACATTTGATTAATTCACTGATACACTTTGACGCACAGCATTTGCTTTGGCTTATTTTCTGAAGGCCAGGATACATCATACTAGCTGAATCGTTAGCAGTGCATTGAACATCTCATATATCATTGTGTATCACAATCACTGAAGTAATTTCTAAACCTAATCACTTAAAAGCAGATCGCATTCCAATGAGGTGAAGTCACCATCTTCATAGACACTGATGTCAGTGTGCTATTCGAGACCATCGAGAGCGCGGCAGTGAGCATTCGCTGAAAGAGCCAATCGATCCGGTCGCTCGGCAGCGAACGGGACGCTCCGCGCGCAACCCAATCCTGCTGAATGCGTCACGGGCACGCACTTGACGCGCCCGTTGCCGCGCGCGCGGAGAGGACGAGGGACGCAGAGGGCGCATTCACAGCTGCGGCCCCACAAGGGAAGTCAAAGGGGTGACGACACGAGCGTAGCAGATGACCAAAGTGACGATAACTGCATGTGTGATAAAAGTGGCGAGAGAGTCTGCAAGAGTACCGAGGACAGGAAATTGTAGCCAGAGCTAGGACAAGGAGTTTTGTTTTAGGCAGGGATGGGGAGACATTGGCCCCTAAAAAGGCATTGTCAGTGCGTGAGTTTGTAGTCAAGAGAACAATGGGGATAATGAGGAAGTAGGGTAGGAAACCATCGGCCAATGAGTGCGTTTGGGCGGCGCGGGTTTGAGTGCTGCGAAGCGAATGCTGGCGAGTGAAGCGGGGGCGCAGAGGGCAACAGCGAAAGGCCGGCGATTACGTGCGAGATTCTCGGAAACGGACATGTGGCGCGTACCAATAAAGAGTGACGGAGTGTCTGTCATGAAAGGACGACCATGGAATTCGAGAGTGACAGAAACAACACAGAGGGGAAGCGCGAGCAGAGCAGGTGGCGAAAGCGACTGTTTGGAAATGCTGATCAAGGTCATTGATTTGTTCTTCATATGCTGGGGTGAGCGACGTGGGGCCCAATTGGAATCTATTCGGAATTAGGATACGGGAAGCAGGGGAGCCTTGTCTTTAAACAACTTTCTCAAGTGACGAAAATATTGTACAATTTGCCTGTTAAGAGCAATTGAGTCATATCTAAAAAATGTTAAAAACATATCTCAGAACTTATTAATTTTTTTCTAAAGAACAACTAATATTACTCTTTTCATTTATTGCAAACCCGCAGTGATCAGGCATTACCGTAGAACATCGATTCATCAATTTTGATCGGAACTATCTACTACCATAACTCCCTAGGTCATCGTTAGAAAAGAAAAAAAAAGTTAAAAAACTTGTTTTTCAACTCCTCTACACTTTTCGATTTTTCAGATACAATTGCTTCATGGCAGGCCAACAGGA